GAGGTCGACCGCTGGAAAGAAGAAGGGTCGTCTGGAAAATCCCATTTTCTTGTTTTTAGACAAAGCAAGTGGCACGCCTAACATCCAATTCACGTGGTAAAGGTCGGCTGAGGATTTTTGAGGAAACAGTTTCCATGGCCGGTTCAAAGGCCACTCCTTGCTTGAGGTCACCTCCACCAGATTTGGTTAAACTCTTTCAAAACCAAAATCTTCAAGATGATATAAACAGGATACTCCAAAAACAAAAGCCGTGTCATTCAAATCAAACTTTTGTTCCTCATAAAAAATCTGAGATTTTGGGCCCCTATTTTGTGTCTCATCCACCGGCCTCTCTTGCCTCCATTTACCCACAGCCCAAAGAACATCTGCTCCCTTTTTAGGTAAAACCTGACTGGAATAAATGGATTGGCTCTTTTGGAGCTTGGCCGGTTTAGAGAAAATCAGAATGGGTAGAGTGGATTGATCGTCTGGAACCTGATTTTGGCCAAATTTGGAGAGATGTGGGTTTGTTTGAGTTTATACAACTCACCAAATGCAGGTTCACCATGGACAAGATGGCCTTGGGTGCGGCTTTGTTATTTTGGTCTGGCTCTTTCAATTGTTTTCATTTTCCTTGTGGAGCCATGTCTGTGAGCCTTTTTGATGTCAGTTCATTAATTGGATTGCCCTGTACTGGAGAAGAGATTACTGCATTGCTAACCTTGCCTCCAGGTGTTGAGTACAGTGTGGAGTTGAAGCCCTCTTATCCAGCCTTTGTGAGGTCTGCCTATGACAAAAGTAAGCCTGTCAGTGCTGATGAGCATATTTCATTTCTGCTTACTTTGATTTGCAAATATATAGTCTGCTCTGCTGGTAAAGGTCCCCCGAAAGAGTTTATTCCTTTAGCTGCTGCTTTAGCGTATGGTAGACAAATGGCTCTGGGTCCTTTCTTGCTTGCTCATTTGTACAGGAATTGCCAGGATATCACGGCTCACCCCTTAGTCATTAGTGGTGGGCCGCTTTGGGTTTTGCAGTTGTGGTTATATTCTTATTTTCCAGCCCTCGCTCCTGTCTCATCCGCTATTCCAGCCCGGGATCTACTCACTTACGGCTTCATGTTCAAGAATGCCGTGGAGAATAAGAGGAGCTTTGAGGAGTGCCTCAAGTTTTTTGCTTCTCTTTCTGTTGACCGACCCGATGCAGACTTTGCTGTGTTTCTTGGCAGATCTCACGGTCCTTCATGGTACAGGGCCGATGTCGAGTCCCCAGATTTTAGAGCATTTTGGTCTGTTTGTGTGACCTCCCAAGATTTGTTTGTTGGCTGTAGTTTGAACACTCTCAACTCCAGATGTGGCATGGAGCTTTATGCACCGAACCAATTCTGTCGGCAGTTAGGGTACTGCCAAGACATACCATTCCCGCCACTATTTTCCTTCAACCACAGCTATCCCCTTCGATTTATGATTGGGGATTCAAAGATTTTGGTTACCAAACTTGCTGACATCTCCAAAACTCTGCAGACACTGATCTTACCAGACCCTCTATTCAGACCAAGCTGCACTTCCTCTTACAAAAGTTGGTGGCGAAACTACTTCCATCCTCGGTTTCTTGATGTTATGGAGAATATTTCTATTCTGGCCCCTCCACAACTCACCAAAAAATCTGAAGGGAAGAAAGTTGTGAAAGAGAATGAGGACCTGGAATCTGCCATGGCCACCCAGATCAGCCAACCAGATCTGTCAAGGAGAGCTCCCAAACTCCAAGTCAAAAGGAAATTTGCTGCTCCTGCAGATTCCACGGAAGAAGATACCCCCTCCCAGCAGCGAAGAACCGGAGGTAAATCCGCTTTGGCTTGCAACTTTGTGACATGTTTTCTGCTAACACTCACTTTTTTTTTTTTTTTTAGGGATCAAGAGGTCAGTAGTAAAACCATTTGCAGCCAAGAAACTTATCAAATCTGCCTCTCCCTCGAGGTCCTCTTCTGCCATGGAAACCGAGACACAACCTGACAAAACAGAAGATATTTCCCTCGGTCCTGCTGCCACGAAAGCTCCTGTTGAAGACATATCTGCTGAGGGTGATGAAAGCAATTCTGGCTCCACTCGTACCAAATCTGGCGATGGTTCTTCACCCGCCACAAAGGTTAGGGGTTCTAGATTCTCTTCACGCATAGCAAGCAAAAACTTTAGAACAGTTAGACCGAATGAACTCATCGATCTAAGCCTAGACAAAGAGAATACCCCTACACCCGTAGCCTCTCCTGCTAGACATGTTGATGTTGATGACATTGAGGTTGTTTTACTGTTCTGAAATTTGCTTAGATCTTGAAATCTGTCACCATATCTGCCAGTTGTCATTTTTGATCTTTTGTCTTTGCATTTTATAGAGTGTTGCTGCTGATGTGCCCATGATTGATGATGATTTGGAGAATGAACTTCTTGCCCAGCTAGACATGTTGATGGATGCTCCGGCTAAATCTGGATCTGCCACAGATAGTAAAGAGAAGGCAGTTGCTGAAGAAATAGATTTTGATATCAACCTTCCTACTCAGGAGCAGATTAGTTTTGCGATCATGACCATGCAAGAACTCTTTGGTGGTGATCCTTCCCATTTTTGCAAAGTGCCGGACCAGCCAGTCGCCTTTGAAGCGGCTCAAATCCTTAGCTGAGCCCCACAATTATCATCAACACAACAAAAATTCTGGGCAGACTTCACCTCCATTTATACGCACTTCAGCAAGAGATTCCAGGTGCTTGAAAGCAAAGTAGCGGCTGCAGATTCTGTTAGGAAGTCTGTAGCGGATAGCACTGTCACTGTCTTCAAGAAGAAGGAAGAATTCATGGCAGCAAAGGAGGCTCATATCATGCAAGTTACCCATGTCCAAGGGCTTAAAGAAAAAATCTCTAACCTTGAAGCCGAGCTTTCGGAGTTGAGAAACCAAGTTCCTCTTGCGGAGCAAAGTGAGAAGAATTTGGCAGAACAAAGAAACAAGCTCCGCATGGACATGGAAGTTGGTTTGAAATCTGCTGCCAAGATCAAGGAGCAGCTACCTTCTTTCACAGCCTCTGCAGACGACGCCGCTGAAGAAATAAAGAACATGAGAGAAGAATGGAGCTCATGGAAAAACAACCTTGGTTGATTTTTCTCTTATGTATCTCCTTATCTCTTTGTTGGCTGGAATTGTACATTGTCATGTTTGAACACATTGTTTGCGGCCTATTGGCCATGCAAACTTCTTTTTTAATGTTGATCTCTATCTTGGCTCATATTCTGGAAATCTGCTTGTATTTTTCTGTTCATACTTTGATACAGGTTGAAATCTGTCGTGGCCGAAATCTGGCCATTGTGGTTGTTCCCAACCAGATTTGGCCTACTTGCAGATTCGGCTCAGCACTTTTATTGAATGATAAAATGCTTGAAACAATGAAATAAAATACTGTACAAATCCTACCTCAAATCTGTCTCAGGTAGAATTAATGGTATCCAAACCTTTAGCCTCCCATATCATAGGATAGTAAGGCTTAAGGTAGATTCCATTTATTTTTCGAGGATGTAACTCTCCATTTAATGATTCAAGCCAATATGCTCCTCCTCTAAGCACTTCATGTATACGAAATGGTCTTTCCCAATTTGGAGACCATTTTCCAAATCTGGGGTCTTTCTTTCCAGGTGGCAGAATTACTTTCCATACCAGATCTCCCTCTGCCAAACTTCTGGATTTCACTCATTTGTTGTATGCTCGAGCCACTTTTAATTTCTGCGTTTGCAGCCTATCTAAGGTCGTCAATCGCATACCTTCAAGGTCTTCTAACTCTAGAATCATTGCTTCATTATATTCTCCAGAAGTGAGACCATGTTGAATTGATATACGCAATGATCTAGCAGATAACTCCATGGGCAGAACAGCATCATGTCCATAAGTTAAAGAGAATGGAGTTACCTTGGTAGCACTCCTTTGTGAAGTTCTCTAAGCTTAGATTGTGTCAGATAACAGCTCATGCCAACACCTTGGATTATCATCAACCATTTTTTCCAGCAGATTTATCACAATTCTGTTGGAAGCTTCAGCTTGACCATTGGCTTGAGCATAATGAGGGGTTGAAGTGAGCAACCTAAATCCCATTTCTTTTGCAAACACTTCAACTTGTGCACCAACAAAAACTGTCCCCTGATCTGAAGTCACTGTTTCGGGCAAACCGAATCTGTGAATGATTTCTTCCGTAAGAAATTTAATAATATCGGTTTGGTCAACCTTCTTCATTGGCTTTGCTTCCACCCACTTGGTAAAGTAATCTGTGGCAACAATAATAAATGAATGTCCTCTAGTTGAAGGAGGATAAACTTTACTAATCAAATCTATGGCCCATCCTCGAAATGGCCACGGTTTGACGATTGGATGGAGTTTTGACGCTGGAACTCTCTGTAGAGGTCCATGAATCTGGTAGGCTTTGCAACCTTTAGCATAGCTGATGCAATCTTTCAAGATTGATGGTCAAAAGAATCCATGTCTACGAATTAGCCATCTCATCTTAATTCCAGCTTGATGTGCACCACAGATTCCGTTATGCACATCTGACATAATCTGGCAGTACTCATCTGGACCAAGACAGCGCAGAGGTAATTCATCATATCCTCTTCTATAAAGAACACCTTCCAATAGAACATAATTCAAGGCCTGCATTTTTGTTTTTCTTGAGGCCTTAAAATTTGGATTTTTGAGGTATTCCATGATTGGATAACGCCAATCTGTTTGGGTTACATCTATGGAACAAGCAGAAATTACCATACCACGCATGTGAATAGATGGCAAAATTCGTTTTTCCACAACAACAATTCTGCTCATCACGCCTTCTGGGATTTTTAAACCTGAGGCGATTTGTGCCATCTCATTTGCTTCTGTGTTCAGATCTCGAGTAACATGCCTCAAGATTACATCATCAAATTCCTCCAAGAGCTGTACTGCCAAAGCAAAATAAGGTGCCAAAGACAAACTAGTGCACTTGTACTCACCTTCTAATTGCTTTAAAATTAATTGTGAGTCACCAATTATTCCTACCATGGGTACCTTGAGCTCTACCAACACTTCCAACCCAATAATCAATGCCTCATATTCAGCTTGGTTGTTGGTGCAATTGAAATCTAGCTGAAACGACATCTGGGTTTTCAAACCAGCTGGAGAAATAATAACAATTCCTGCTCCAGACATAGAATCTGTGCTAGATCCATCAAAGATAAGCTTCCAAGGAACCAGGCTTATAGAAAACAAATTAATACCTTTTTCCTCATCCGCTTCTACCTCCAGGCACGGATGATCTGCCAGGAAATCTGCCAAAGCCTGCCCCTTGACAGCTTTTTGAGGCATGTACTTTAGGTTGAATTCTGACAAAGCTAGAACCCATTACCCAATTCTGCCTCGCAACAGTGGTCGAGACAACATGTACTTTATCACATCAGTTTTCAAAATAACATAAACCTCGGAATAAAGCAAATAATGCCTCAATTTTATTGCAGCAAAAAACAAAGCAAGACATAATTTTTCGACCGAAGAATATTTCACTTCGGTCTGTGACAGACTTCGACTCAAATAATAAACAGCTTGTTCTTGCTTTTTACTATTTTCTTGAGCCAGCAGACATCCTACAGATTCATCTGCGGCAGATATGTACAAAATCAAAGGTTTGCCTCTTAAAGGAGGCACTAAGACCGGCGGCTTTGATAAATAATGCTTTATTTCCTCAAAGGCAATCTGATGATGTTTCTCCCATTTGAAATCTGCTTCTAATTTCAGCTTCAGCAGTGGCGAAAAAACTCTGGTTTTTCCTGCCAGATTTGAAATAAAACGTCTTAGAAAATTTACTTTCCCAAGGAATCTTTGTAATTCCTTCTTACTTCTTGGCGGCTGTGCTTCAATAACAGCTCTTGCCTTGTTCTGATCCACTTCCAGACCTCGCTCGTGCGCCAGATATCCCAGAAAATTTCCAGCAGAAACGCCAAATGCACATTTTAAAGGATTCATCTTCAGACCATGCTTCCTCATTCTTTCAAAAGCCAGCTTTAAATGCTCCAGATGTTCTTCCTCTTCATTTGATTTCACAACCACATCATCAATATAAATTTCCATAAAACGACCAATCATGTCATGAAAGATGGCGTTCATGGCTCTTTGATAAGTTACACCCGCATTTTTTAAACCAAATGACATTACTACCCATTCATACGTACCAATAGCTCCTGGGCAGCGGAAAGCGGTCTTTGAAATGTCCTCTTCTGCTATAAAAATCTAGTTGTACCCACTGTGGCCATCTATGAATGACAGAATTCGGTGGCGTGCTGCACCATCCACCAATAAATCTGCAATAGGCATAGGATATTCATCTTTTGGTGTTGCCAGATTTAGATTACTGAAGTCTACACAGATTCTCAACTTGCCATTCTTTTTAACCACGGGAACCACATTAGATAACCACTCCACATATCTGGAAGTTCTGATGAAACCAACCTTTAACAGCCGCTCTATTTCTTCTTTGACTTTTAAAGTGACTTCTGGAGACATTCGTCTAGGCGGCTGTGTAAAAGGCTTGAAATCTGGTCTAATTGGTAATATGTGCTCTACCAGATTTCTATCCAGACCTGGCATTTCAGAATAGTCCCAAGCAAAACAGTCCTTGTACTCATGCAAAATATTGATAATTTTATCATGCAAACATGGCTCAAGAGAACTGCTAATAAAGGTAATTTTCGGATCTACCTCAGTACCCAGATTTACCTCCTCTAAGGGATCTTGTACTTCTGCCTTCAGATCATCAAGTTTTGCTGGTGCTAGATCTAATTCCTCCAAAGTTATTTGATCCTTGAAGTCTTCCTCTTCACCTTCATAGACTACTTCAGATCTGTCTACACAGATTCGTTTTTCTGCAAGGTAAGCCGCTAATTTTCTCTTGATTTCTTCCACGGCCTCCTTTTTCTAGTGCTTAATTCGGTCTTTCTTCATGGAATTTCTTCGATTCCAGGTTCCTCCCTCGGCCTAAAAGGAACAATTGCTGTAGGCCGAAGTAGTTCATCACACACCTCCTTCACAGTCTGTCTGTCCATTGCAGATCTGGTGCAGGCAGTAATTCCAAAAGGTCTGCCATAGCGGTCCATCCCAAAGAAACGGATAGTCCCAATATCTTCATCATAATAACGAGCTTCCACTGCATTGGTACTTGCCATAAACGGTTTGTCATTTGCTGTCACGACTTCAGTTCTGCCACCATTCTAGAATATTAATTTCTGATGCAAAGTTGAAGGAACACACCAGCTGGAATGTATCCAATCTCTCCCAAGCAATGCATTATAAGTGGCAATGGTGTCAACCACAAAGAATGCGCACATGAGAGTCCTATTTCCAACAGTAAGTTCTACTGGCAGAATTCCCCTTGAGCGATTTACTCCACCAATAAAGTCACTGATTGTCACTTCTGTCTCCATTAAATCACCCAAAGACTTGCCAATCTTGTGCAGAATACAAGTTGGCAAAACATTGACAGCTGCTCCATTGTCCACCAGAACTCGATTTATGGGCATACCATCCAGATGTGCATGAATGTATAATGGCCTAATATGTCTGGCCATTCTCTTTTTTGGTTTTTCGAAAATGATTTTATCTGCTGAATCCATATCACCATCTTCCTTAGTTGGGATCTCAATGACTTCTTCTTCAGTCAAATCTGTCTGGTGACAGACTGCAGATTCTGACTGCTCTTTTGCTTGAAAGACCAAAGGAAGAGTGATCACCAAGCAAGATAGATTCACGAAAAACTCACCAAAACAGATTACATCTGATGAATTTTTCGCTTTATCTGACATATCAAATTTCACCTTCAAACCGGTTTCTTCATTTGATTCCACAGCCAGAATTCGAGGTGATGTTGGACTTTTGGATAATTCCTCCTTTTCTGGAGAATTCTGACCAGATGTGCTCCCTTTTTCTTTACGGACCCACACTGATTTTCTTCTTGCTGGGAGCGGCTGAGCCTGATCTGCCATGCCCCCCGAGTCTGTAATCTGCTGTCGGTGTCGTTCTGCCGCCCTTTTACGTTGTAAATGCCTCCTCAAGGTCCTTGGATTTTGACCTTTAGGAAATTTTGGATGCACCACATGTTCCCACCGTTTACTTGGAGATCTGGGTGGTGGTTTCACCATTCTGGGCTTTTTTGCCAGATTTGCATTATTTTTCTGTTGAATTGAGTTGTGCCCCCCGGGCTATCTCCTTCGGTATGAGCCTGATCTGACCTGATTTCTGCAGGCTCTGGCCTCCTCAATGACCCACCTCAGATCATCAGCTGCAAGTCTGCGCCTATAGTATGTCTGAGATCTGTCCCTGGCAATGCTCCTGAGATCTGCCGCATTCACCCCAACAGACATGGTAGGGAATGGATCTGTGTCAACTCCCATAGTTTCTTTGGCCTTATCTAGAAAATGCAGAATTCCCTTGTCAATTTTTTCCTGTAAAACATTCCGAAAAATCACACAATCATTAGTGGAATGTTTCCAAGAATTGTGATATTTGCAATATTCTCTACTTCCAATTTCGCCAGCCATTGGGATTTTATGTCCCAGCGGCAACTTAATTAGACCACTCTTTTTAAGGTGGTCAAAAATTTCATTAGTTTTTGAAATGTCAAAGGTATATTGTTTTTCAGCCTTTCCGACATAACGTTTTACTGTTCTATCGGTCTGCTGGGCCACTTTAACCAAATATGGGCAAACAACTGGCTTGTCTGCCACCACTTCTGCCATGTCCAGATCAAAGTTAGCATCACCATAATAAGTCCCATGAGATGCAGATTTCCTTTGTGTGTCCTCTCGCAATAAATTCTCATAACGAGCCACCTTGTAAGACAACTCAAAGAAATCACGAAACTCCATTCCCTCAAACTTTTTCCTCAATTCAATGTCTAGCCCATTTTGTGCCAGCTTGACAAATTCCTGTTCTGGCAGGGCAACTCTGCACTTAAGTCTGGCCTTTCGAAATCTGGCAAGAAAGGCCTCAGATGTTTCTCCAGGTCGCTGCACCAGACGAGATAAATCTGCCATGGACACTTCTGGCTCACTACGGTAGAATTGGATGTGAAAAAGATCTTCCATCTACCTCCAAGTATAAACTGAATTCTGTGGCAGACTCAGATACCAAGTGAGAGCTGTACTAGTTAATGAGCTAGGAAAAAGTCTAAGCTTCAGATTATCATCACCGGAGGCCTCGCCACACTGAATTGTGAAGCAACCTACGTGTTCAATTGTAGAATATCCACCATCTCCAAAAAATTGAGTAAATTTTGGAACTTTGAACCCTCTTGGAAAAGGATTCTCTTGGTTTATGAAATATGGATATGGTTTTCTGTAAGCAGGTCTGACAAGATGCCTCAAAACTAAACCATAAGCCTCCTGCACCATGTCGATGATCTGATCGCGATTGATGTACTGTCCTGGCAGATTTGGAACATTTTGCTGCACGGGCGACACATAAGGCTGGAAATGCTCCATTTGTGGAGGTGCATTATGTTGTGGATGTCCTCCATTCGGTCGGCGTGGAGGTGGCAGATATCTGGGTTGCTGGTGATTACCCAGATCTGCCACACATGGTGCAGCCTCAACAGGATCTGGCTGCATTGGTCCGTCTGCTGCCTGCTGAATCTGGGGAGGTGGCTGTGGCAGATTAACTTGCCCCCCGAGTGCTGGAGCTGGAATATTCTGATTTTGCCTTTGAAGATCTGCTGCTTGTGGCTGAGGCTCAATTCTGACACGTCGAAATGCCTTTTGCATTCGTTCCGTTTCAGCTTGGAAAGCTCTCCAATTTTCTGCATTTTGCTCGTGCCAGATTCTATTACTTTCTTCATTGGATCGCCGCATGTCGGCTACACTTTGGGCTACACTTTGAGCCAGATTCTAAGCCATATTCTGAAAAGACTCATCCAACTGTCTAGAAACCTCTTGGCTTCTTTGTCGAGCTTTCTCCTCAGATTCCATCAGTGTGTGCCTCATGATGCTAATCTGATCTGACACAGCTTTCACAAGGGAATCACCAGATTGAGCAGCATCATCTCCAAATTCACTAGCCTTGTTGAAAGTAGGGTTGACAAAAGAATGCTCCCCAAGTATTGGTGACAATGGTGGTGGAATGATTGGCTCATTCTCCCCTTCTGAGTGTGCTGGACTGCCATCACCAAGCCCAATCTGTAAAGTCTGGGCAGCCTTCCCAAGGTTTCTTTTTGGTGGCATGATTGCACTTTTTCTTGGAAAAGAGAACAACGGATCTGAAAACTGTAAGTAAGACACGATGAGGTCCCACTGGGCGTGCCAAAAAAGGATTGTTTCTTCAAAAATCCTCTAGTGGCCTCGCACGTGCGAAATCTGGATGCGGGCGTGCCACTTACTTTGCTGAAAGTAAGAAAGGAGGACTTTCCCAACGATCCTCTCCTTCCTCACGGTCGACCTCTTCGCAGATGGCGAGAAGAACGTTGGATTAAAATTGAAATTGCGCCTTCAGACGATTTGCAAGAGGGAGGGATGCCTTCCTGCAGATTGGGTTACGAAATCTGCCTTGGACAACTCCAAGGACTTAAACACTATCATGACTTAAAATTAACAAATCCTAATTGAACTAAATAACCTGCAATTTAAAGTAAATATGCGAGAAAAAAGCTGTATCCAAACCAAATTAAACATGCTTATGGAAAAATTAAAATACTTTGCACTGGCAGATCTGGAAATTAAAATGCTGCAGAATTAAAGATTTTATCCTAATTACCACTAAAATTGACGTGAACAGTGATTAAAATTACCATGCTTGAGGTTGAAAAGAGGTATGAACACCACATAAGTAATCATTGAATAAAATGCTACTTATCATAAACATTAAATTAATTACAAATGAAAAGAAAACAATACCTTGCATAAACTTGAAGGATTGAAGTTCATTGCATGAAAGGAAATTGTCTAACTAAATACAGGAATTGATTTGTCCACTGGAATGATGAAAAACAACCTAATTCTAATGGAATCTGTGCTGAAATTCGAAATCTGTGCTAAAAATCCGAAATCTGGAAGCATGTGCAGAGAAAATCAAAGTATGAAAATTTGCAGATATTTGAGTAGGGCTGGCCGTGTCCTTCTCTTCCCAAAATTTCCTTTTTGTTCTTCTTGTGCCGGCAGTTACCTCCACCTTCTGCAGTTACTCAATCATGGGTGATTTTTTGAAATAGTGGGACACCTCACCTTTTGACCTAGTCTAATCCCCTTACAGATTTCGCCACCTGGACTCTTATCAGATAAAACCCCATTTTTAACTGCAATCTTCTCCTATCTTCCAGCTGCCATTATCTCTTTCTGTTTCAAGAAGATAATTATTCCATAAAACATTATCTTTACCTCTCCTATCTTGCCAACTCATGTGCTGATCTGTCATGGGGCCCAGAATCCGAATCTGACATGGCTTAAACTTCTCCAGCCAATAAAAATTTTACACGTGGCATTAATTTAAAATTTTGCAATTTATGGTGTAAACAGGTCAGGTCCAATTGTGGATTGCGGGAATGAAAGTTGAATATTATATCATGTGCAGGTTCCAATTACCTGGCTTCTTGCGAACTCTACAGGCCTTTCAGGAGTAACTATCGTCTCCCCACAATGGACTTGTCTCCTGGCTTGACCCAAACTGCGCCCATAGACCAATAGAAGGAATGATAGAGCTGGGGCATGTTCTAGACTGCTTCCCCCTTGTTTGAAAAGAAGCCCACCTAGAATGTATTTTAAAGGAAAATTAGCTGATGAAGTGTGCAAAATTGCAAACTAATCAACCCAAATTTTTGACAAAAAAAAAAAAAAAATCACTTACCTCGTAAGGAGACACTTGAGGTCCCTGACTCGGGCAACAATGAACACACCAACTTATCGGCAATGGAAAGAAATAGGTGAGAACTCTTTGTCAGTCATGTTCAACTGCCAAAATTTATCGATAGAAGTATTGTTCTTCTGAATAAAAGAAAAGTTCGACTGTCATGATTTGAAACATTGTTATTTACTACTCTACAATTAATTAGTGCAGTGCATATGAAAAGTGAAAACAACAGGACATTAATTTATTTACCGTCTTTTTGGCTCGATACTCTCTATCCCTTATATTTTTCTCCCCCTCCTTTTTCTTCTCTTCTTCAGACAGTGGCGTCCTGGTCCTCGTCTGTTTTCTGCTTCATTGGCTCCAGTCCTTTTCTGCTTTCTTCCCTTTGCCATTAATTCTTCCTTGTGACACAGACAATAGAAGGAAATTCACTAATTAGAGTTAGCTGATTTCATTAAACAAGTAATACTTAAGCAGATCCAAGCCTTCCTTTGCTGGTTATAGAAAATTAAGAAAGATTTCATGCTAAGACAGTTGAAAAATTGAAGAAATAACAGGGAAAATGATGAAAAAACAACAAATTAAGCATGTGTATATTCAAGTAATGATGATGAAAAGATTGATAGCTAACACACCTGAATCTCCAGCAAGATATATTTGTAAGCCTAATTCATGGTTCGCACACAACAACTAATCATGTCCTAATTCATATGTTCAATTGCAGGTTAAGTATTCTTTTTTATTAAGCATATTTCTTGCACTAGCTTCAATCCAGAATTATGTTTAACCAAGCAAATATTGATTTAAATTCAATTACAGCCACCAAAACCATCACTTATACTTACCAAGCCCAATACCATTTCTGGTAGAATCCCTTGGTTGAATCATTTTTAGTAACTAAACTCTGTTATTTAAAATATAATCAAACAAGGATGGGATGCTTAGATACCAAGTCACAGTAGAAAATCTTACAGGAATTTAAAAAGCAATTCATGTAAATGTCCAAAAATACCCTTTTACAGTGTTACTTTTACCGGGTTTTTTCGCCTCTTCATGCAAATTACCCAAGGCATGAAGGTCATTATTCTCTGACTATTCATTTGTTTTTTGCCTTTTTTCTATTTTTTATTTTTTTTCAACGGGGTAAAAGGGCAAAAGTGACGTAGGCAAAAAGACGAAAAGACCAACACCCTTGGCTGAAAACCATAAGGGCAAAAACAAAATTTCAGTTTATCTCGCCCTTTTCTATGCCAAATCGTCTGGAACCCTAACCCTGGAGGTTTTCACTTTTCAAGTGAAATCAAAGATGGATATTGTTCCACCGGCCCCGGCCAAAGGGATATTCCTTCTTCTGCATCGTTCGGAACTTTCCGATCCGAGGGAAGCTAAAAGCTACTGTAAAGCGATGATATTTAAGATTGATGGCCTTCGCAGGGTGAAGTCGGAACAGCTGTTGAGGGACGTGAAGTTGAGGAAAGTGAAGTTGAGGAAAGCCTACAAGTATCTACTGGAGGAGGCTGGGGAGTGGAAGAAGAAGGTGGAAGAAATCGAGGAAGGGTTCGAAGAACTCAAAATGGAATCAATGCACCATTCATTGCGAGGCAAACTATATTTCAATGGGCTGCCATCGTTAGCGCCAATTTCCCTTTTTTTTTTTTGTTATTTATTTTTAATAATTTATTTGATTTCTGAAAATTTATCTATTGACT